GCTCAGAAAATAGTACAATTAAAAAAAAAAAAAGTAAAAAGATCAATTGGGCTATCAAAAATTAAGTTAGTGTGCTACAATAAAAATATATATAATTCAAATTTTACAAAATATTATACCTCATCAATCATCACTTATTTACAATGTTAATATGCCCCAAAAGAACACAAATCTCATCCAAGATAATGCTTAAATAAGAGTGGTTTACATATGATGTTAATTCACATTAAGAGATAATTTACTCTTTTCCACTTACATGCTAATAAATGAGAAAATACTGAATATTTTTTTTAAATGCTTACTGATATACAAAAGAGTGCAAGTTCCCCCCCCATAATTAACAGTTATCTCTTAGTAGTTCTAAACCAAACAGATGCGAGGACCTGAAGGATACAAAAAGACATTCAAAAAGCCTCAGACTGCATAGAAACGGCAAACATTTTACATCATGAAGAACCGGGAAGTGCTCACATATAAAAGCATTATTTATATAAAAAAAAAAAAGCTGTAATAGTAATACAAATAAATTCATAATGAGCCCCTAAATACACAATTTCTTGATTGTGGCCGAGATCGCAGCAGCAGCAACTTGGTCCCGGGGTTTATTTATTTTTTTTCCCTTTTACCTTGTGTTGAACTTTGTCTTAAACAGCGGCAATGCATTGTGGGATGCGTGGAACAATGACGAGGTAGGGGATGGCCCAAAAAAAAAAAACGTACTATCGCACAGGCATACTAACTCGGCTTTTCTGTCGAAGTTCAGTTGTTTCAAAAGCGGGCTCTGTGTCACCGCTTTCATTGACTTCCAGCTACACAAACTCCACGTAGTTCTCCGGAATTAACCCCTTCTTCCCATCCAAAGTGCCCTCCAGCCAGCCTGGCTCTCTTGAGGGATGAACTATGAGACAAAGATGCAAACGAAGATCATTTTGGATGCCACTGACAACTTTATTCCCGATTTATCCTCTATTTTCACAGTGTGAAAGGAATAAGGACTGTTCCAGATTCAATTAGCAGCATCACACAATCAGGGGCGTGTCTACCCCAGGTGCCCCCCCTACCAGATGTCTTGCGATAGGCTCGTGTGAGGACGAATCTCTCCACATTAAACAGTGCCAAAACAGCATTTATTGTTTGAATTTTGAATAAAATGGACAGAATCTGAAATCGGAGACTTTGTTTCATATCAAAAGTAAGGAAGCTTATTGCGATTTATTGGATGGGCGGCACGCTTCCGTTCAGTTCATTAACTGAAAACAGGCTAGACTAATCGATTCTTGGTATTTAAGAATTGATATTTTGTAAAAATTAGAATCGATTAAAATCGATATATATATTTTTTTAACCCAGCCCTACTATTTACTCCTGCAGTAGAGCCTCTGTGAACACGCCTGAGGCTTCATTAAACAATAATCTGATCTACTGCTAAGCGGTGTCAAGTGTCAAACTGCGGCAGCTTGGAGCTCTGATAACCTGTTAAAGGGCAAAAGGTGGAACAAAGCAGAGATATCAGTTTGCTGCTCTTATGCCGACTCTCAAGACTCAAACCTGCTTAACTAACCAGATATACCCAGTACACTGAGGGCTAAAAATGGAGACCCCGCTGTTGGGGACTTACCATTCTCGAATATGGTGCCTGCGATAAAGGACAGCTCAGAGTCATGTTCAGCCTTGCAGGCGTATCGTGCACGTGCCTGTCGTGGCGGAGGACTGGAGAAGATACAAATATATATTAATCTCATAAATCTTTGAATGAAGTTCATGATTTGCAGATGAATTAACTTATTTGCAATCAATTTCTGATCAGAAAAATACCCACATGAAGATAACTCAAAGACATTGACTTAAAAAAAAATAAAAATCAATCAATCACATCATCTTTTTCATAAAACACCTGACATCAGACATTAAAAAAATGTATGAGTTCAAATGTTCAGTGCTCTGACATCAGTAAATAAAACATCTCAAAAATGCCATTATATCACCATGGCTTGTTGAAAATGATGCCATGGTAATTTTACGCATGTATGTATGTGTATGTGTATTTATTTATTTAATGTTGGTCTTTGAAATACCTTGTGTTACCATGTAAATACTATGGTGCATGAATGTGTTAATCATTCTGTACCATATTATATAATAGGGATGCTCCCATATAAAAATACTGGCTAATATTATTTTCTAATTCTGTTTTGTCCGGGCAAAAATAAATAAATAAATACAATAAAAATGAATAAATAAATACATAAAATAAAGTAAAATCATACAATAAAATAAAGCACTAAATAAAACAACCATTTTAAATGTTAGTGAATTTTAAATGCAAAGTGAATTATGAAACACAAATTTATCATGTACAGTGTGAAAAAAATGGGTATTGTTAATGGATGGATATTATTGCATTATTAAATTATTAGTGTTTTTAAAGATTAAATGCGTGCACTAGATGACAGAAAAAAGTAATCGAAATGTAAAAATAGTGGCTATAAGCATTCTTAATTAAATATACAATAACAACTGATATATATATTAAAAAAAAAAAACTAATATCAGCCTCTAATGTCAATGACTGTTATGGTACAGATAATTTGTGCATTCATAGTATAAATAGTGCATTTTAATAAATAAAAAATTACCAGAAAGTTCTCCATTTAGATACCATAGAACATTAATATTCAAATCATAGTAGCATAGTATCAAGTACCATAGTAAGTATTAAGAAAAAAAAATATCGATGGCACTTCATTTTACAGTCCTGTTCCACATGTGCATACTGTGTACTTATTATAGTAATTATATGACTGGGTGATAACTAGGTACTAATCCTGAACCTCCGCCTGAACCTAACCTTAACCCACGCAGCTACCTTATTACCCAGTGCTTTCTTAGGTAAGTACACTGTATGTACACTTACTATAAAATAAAGTGCAACCAAAATATGATTGGTGTACATTCACTTATACTGATCATTAAACATCTTCATGAAAGACATCATCATACATACAGTATATGCAACAACAGAAATGACACAGTATATTATTACCCACAATGCATCAAACATGTCTCCAGTGATGACATTAGTTGATGTATATGCTCAGATGTGAAGAGGGAAGGCGTGAATGTACGAAGCGGAAGATTAACACCGAACGATTAGAATACTGCACTGCTACAGATAGCCGCCTAAGCAGGCCAGAGCAGGACACACACCTGACGGGGGAGGATTCGCTGGAGGGGCTGGAGGGGGCAGAGAACATCGGCCATGAGGGGGAGCGCGGTGAGGTGGGACTGGGTGAAGCCGGACTGTGACACACACACACACACACACTGTGATCCCAGCGCCAACATTTATGTTACGGCAGCTGCTGAGTTAGAACTTTCACAAGAGACTTTAAAAGGAAGTTGCATCATCGGTTTAAAGAAATAGACATAAACGTAGTTAAACATGCTCGAGAGTTTCATGCTTACAGGAAAAGTTCAGCCAAAAATGACCATTCTGTCATAATTTATGCAACTCGTGTCTTTCATGTCCTGTGTGAGCACAAAAGGAGATGTTTTGACGAATGTCAAGCTCCTGAAATGACAGCCCTTGGTCACTGCATGTGAAATACTGTAGCAGTGTGAATATTTGCCAAAGCATCTCTTTTTGTCTTCCACTGGAGAAAGAAAGTCTGGTTTAGTGAGTAAAAAATGACTGAATTGTCATATTTAGTGGAACTGTTCCTGAGTTAAACATGCTGAGGAAAAACATTAGTGATCATTTGTGTTAATGTAACATGAGTAATCTCACATTAAAGGCTTAGTTCACCCAAAAATGAAAATTAGGCTGTGTTTTACTCACCCCCGAGGCATCCTAGGTGTATATGACTTCCTTCTTTCAGACGAATCCAGTCGGAGTTATATAAAAACTTTTTCTTTGATCTTTCAAGCTGTTTAATGCCACTCAGCGGGTGTTGCATGCATCAGTCCAAAAGAATTTAAATAAAAATTTATTTAAAATAAATTTCGCTCATCCATAAAAAAAAAGCTTGAAAGATCAAAGACAATTTTTAATATAACTCCGACTGGATTCGTCTGAAAGAAGAAAGGTCATATACACCTAGGATGCCTCGGGGGTGCGTAAAATGCAGCCTAATTTTCATTTTTGGGTGAACTAACCCTTTAATCTGATATGGTTTGTGTTGACTAATCTAAAAGGTTTCTTTTTTTCATTTTATTTTTTTACCCCTCTCAAAATTGTCCATGAAAACTTCAATGCTGACTATAAAACTGGATGAACTTACCTTGTCGACATACTGCTGCGAACCTTTGGATTTTGACTGTAAATAACAGAAACAATGTTAAAATATTTTTTGCTATCTCAGCTTAAAGGGTTAGTTCACCCAAAAATGAAAATTAGCCCATAAATTACTCACCCTCAAGTCATCCTAGATGTATATGACTTTCTTCTTTCAGACGAATCCAGTCGGAGTTATATTAAAAATTGTCTTTGATCTTTCAAGCTGTTTCATGGCACTCAGCGGGTGTTGCATGC